TTGAGCCCAAGAGAAACTCAAATGGATCTAGATCTGGACCAGAATCAAAACAGACTGGAAGTATTTGAGCAGGAGGGTTTTCATCATACACTGCCTTTTAGAAATACTCACTGCATCGCTATTGTATTGTATTGATGGATCAGGCAGCTGATGATGAGAAAGACCTCTGTCCAAGACCCCAAAGAGCTGCTACCCAGGCCTGGCCAAATACATTTTTCTGCCTGAGGCAAAGGACAAGATGGCAGCCGCTCCCACTGCATGTTCTGAAGCTGACTGCTGCATTTTGATACTGGAGATGGGGTAGCATCCTTCCTCACACCTGAGGGATGTGGGATGTGAAACACAAGAGCAGTCAAGTACAACATTCCTAGAGTGAACATGTTTACACATGGGGAGGAATGTTTGTCCAGCCAGCAGGCAAACTTCCTGTTCCCTTCTGGGCTGGGACAGACTTCCTCTGCATGTGACTAGAGGTGGGCGTGGCCTCACCTGTGCAGGTAACGACAAAAGCACAGGGCAGGGCAGCCATCTCTCTCTCTCTAACTACATGCATCAAAGAAGCAATATCTGCTTAGCCAAAGATGCTCTCTTGGCTCCAGCCAAGAGAGGACAAAGGGACTGTCTTCTTATGGAATAGTTTCCAAGTGTACGTTACTTTTCTAAGCTAAGTCTGCCTTCTGGGATCCTATTGTGAACAGAATGATATGTGAGTAAACCTTTTTATACTTTTTATAGAAGACTGTGTCGTGTCTTATCTTTTATGAGGGAATAAGGTGGAAATACCAGAACAGTTATTATAGAGGCTTTAGCGAGCCTGAGCAAACGCATCCGCTGCAAGTTTAAAAGGGGGGAATGTTACTCTGCTAAATTGTGGAACTTGTTAACACAAGTTGGAAAAGGATATAATCAGACAATATATATTCTCCTGCATCCCTGAACATTCCCACAAGGGCTTCCTGCTGGTTTACAGGGTTCAGGAAAGGCTATGGTTCACCAAGGTCTGTCCTGCAACCAACATCTCACTGCTATTCATTGCCTACCAACCCCGCAACATTTGTTGCCTGAAGTGGCTGCCTCATTCTACCTAACGGTAGAGCTGATTTTTTTGCTGCCAGACAGAGTGAGGTAGGCAGAACTGGGCTAGATGAATAAGTAACCTGACCCTGTTTGACAACTTCCTGTGCACCTTGGTTTGCGTGACAGGAAGCCCACGAGCGCTTGGAGTTTGGTAGCGTATAAAAACAAGGAAGCAGCAACCCACACAATTTCTAGACATCATGTTGCAAATAAATATGCACAAATGCCCAAGCAAGGGATGGTGGATATAGAGGAGGAGGGGAGAGGGACTCTGAAAGGAAAATCCTTCAATGAAATGTGGATGAAAGCCAGCAGAGGACAAAAATACCCCGGTGGATTAAAGTCTCTCTAGCCACACTTAGATGGAAAGATTATGTGAAATTCCTGAATAATGTGGAATAAAAGGGACCCAAAGATCATTAATGATAATCAGAGATTAACATACACCAAATGCAAGACGGCTGAAGCGGTGTTATCTGCTATCAATTGAACTTATTTTAGCAGCAAAATAAGACAGATTTGCAGCATAATAATGACGATAATACAGATAAATAAGATAACTCTTAAATCTTTAAAGCAATATTGTAAAGTATTTGTAAGACCTTAGTAACATATCTGCAAAGGAATGCCTCTGTGCTGTTATGGATTGAATGTCCCAGATGTAAGAGGAATATAAGGAGGGGGGAGAGATTCGGCATCAGTTATCGTGGTCTTAAAGCATCTTTGTTTCCCTTCGTTTTACCTCTTAAGGAGATGTTGGGCACTTCCTAGGAAAAGAGGGGGGTCAATTGCACCCCTTTCTGTGGCTGTCTTGCTGCTTTCTCTTCTGAAAATGGCCAGATCATGGCATACCAACAGATGGACTGGGGGCCAAACTGCACACATCTGCGCAAGCAAAAAAATAGAGGAAGCTAAACTCTTCAGAAAACAACAGAACCTTGGAATGAAATCGCAAGGGATTTGTTGCTTTCAGACTCACAATATGGGCTGCCTCAAACTACGGATTTAACCATGAGCATAGTCAGGATTTTTTTTTGGGGGGGGCGGGTTCAGAACCAATGTGATTGGTCCTGTCAGTTAAGTATTTCTATTGTCTTACTTGATCGGGCATGGGGGGCAACTGTCCCCCTGCTCCCCCTTGGCTACGCCCATGGATTTAACAGGCATGTGCAAATGGAGAGGCAGTGTGGTGTAGTGGTTGGAGCTCTAGTCTACACTGAGTTATGAAGCTGACATGGGTGACCTTGGCTGGTCACCGTCTCTCAGCCTAGCCTACCTCACAGGGTTGTTGAGAGGGAAAAAGATGGAGAGGGGGAGAACCATGCATGACACCTTGAGTTTCTTGGAGGAATGGCAGAATATAAATGTAGAAAATAAATAAAATAAATAAAAATGCATGTATCTCTCTAAGAACCAGGGACGCGGGTGGCGCTGTGGGTTAAACCACAGAGCCTAGGACTTTCTGATCGTAAGGTCGGCGGTTCAAATCCCCGCGACGGGGTGAGCTCCCGTTGTTCGGTCCCTGCTCCTGCCAACCTAGCAGTTCGAAAGCACCTTAACGTGCAAGTAGATAAATAGGGACCGCTCTCCGGCGGTAAGGTAAACGGCGTTTCCGTGTGCTGCGCTGGTGCTGGCTCGTCAGAAGCGGCTTCATCATGCTGGCCACATGACCTGGAAGCTGTCTGCGGACAAGCGCTGGCTCCCGGCCTATAGAGCGAGATGAGCGCGCAACCCTAGAGTCGGTCACGACTGGACCTCACGGTCAGGGGTACCTTTACCTTTACCTCTAATAACCAAACTACACATTATGTTTAGCATGTGCCTAATATAGGGCTGCCTCTGAAGACGGTTTGGAAACTTCAGCTAGTGCAGAATTCAGTGGCCACGTTGCTCACCGGAACAAGATGGTTTGAGCATGTTATACCGATCCTGGTCTGACTGCACTGGCTACCAATTAGTTTCTAGGCCGAATTCAAAGTGCTGGTTTTGACCTAAAAAGCCTTAAATGGCTCAGGACTGCAATACCTCAAGGACCGCCTCTTTGCATAAGAATCTACCTGGACCCTGAGATCATCTCCCGAGGCCCTCCTTCATATGCCACCTCCTTGAGAGGTTCGGAGGGCAGCAACACGAGAACAGGCCTTCTCTGCAGTGGCTCCCCATCTGTGGAATGCTCTCCCCAGGGAAGTTCGCCTGGCGCCTTCATTATACACCTTTAGGTGCCAGGCAAAGACGTTCCTTTTTAACCAGGCCTTTGGTAGATCTGATTTATATCCTGTTGTTTTTATTTTTATTATGTATTTTGTGGTTTTATATCTTGATTTTATTCTGTGAACCGCCCTGAGACCCCTGGTTATAGGGCGGTATATAAATTCAATAAAATAATAATAATAATAATAATAATAATAATAATGTGCTGTTAAAAGCCAGTTTGCAACTGGTCACTATCTTTCTATAGCAAAAGTCAGAAGGGCCCCAAACTGAACAAAAACTGCAGTATGGAGGAGCGGAGGCGAACCTTCCCTAAATATCACCCCCCCAAAAGGTGCCATTTGCAGGGGGCCACTAGGGGCGCATTGGAAGATGGCCGACAATACCATCTCTCCGACCCACACGGGGTAATTAAGAGGCTGTTATGGGAGTAGGCAGCCTCCCTTGTTGCCCCAAGGAAATGGGGAACACTGCCCTTGCCTGCTGTGCCCATAAATCACCCCCTAATTCGAAAGAAGGGGTGAGGGCCCTAGGCAGAATGCCCCGTGTGGACCTCGGCTCTCCTGGACGCTGTCTCTGATCGCGCACTAGCTGCAGCAATTTGGAATAATTAATTACAAAAGAAGCAAATGCACATATTTCAAGTGAAGAAGGGGAGTGAAGTCTGCTAATTTAAGTGACCTCTGCGAAAGAAGACGACGGGTTGGAGAAACAGGAATATTTTACGATGAAGATACACCAAAGGCTGGGTATGTTGACAACGGGACTGAATGGGGGGGGGAACCTTTTTTACTTTCCTTCTATGTGATTTACAAGAACCCCTCCTCATTAGAATCGTCGGTTGAACTGACCCAAGCAGGATGATTAAGGTCTGTGTGGAGATAAACTTTAACCAAAAGTATGCTTTATGGAGATCGAGAAGCAATAAGAGCTTTTGGAATGGCGCAGCAATTAATTCAGAGTCGCCATCTTGCCAAAGGATTTATAGCCGGGAGGAGGAACGGACTTATTTTCAGACTGCATTCCTGGTGAATCTCCTCAGAGGTTTTGAGAAAGGAGGCAGATTGGTGAAGATTAATGACACTAAGACTGTTTTGATGTATGGAAGTGATGTTATATGGAAAACGTCTGGATATGGCTACTGGATAAAAAAAATAATATCCACGCAGGATTACAAACTGTTCTAACCAGCTTGTGGAGACTATCAGAGGTCACAAAGAGAAAGGAAAAATATATGAAAATAACAACAAGAGATGTGGAAAAACAATAAGAAAGGACTGGATAGTACTGTGAACATCATAAGGTTAGATTTGTGGACATTAAAACAGCAGTAAGAAGCAAGAAGTTGATTGGATCTCCTTCGGAACTTGAAATATGGGTACCCCCAACAAAAATTTAAAATTCGGCTGTGTAATTTGGAATTTATGTAATTTGGTTTCATTTGATGTGATTGGTCGGTTAATAAAAATTATTCTTAAAAAAAAAAGGTGCCATTTGCTTTCAAAGTCAAAGCCTCCAATAGCAACTTGAGAACAGATAGCCGCTTTAAATTGCTCAATTGGAAAAAGGGTGGGGGGAAATGGCTCCCCTCTGCCCCATGGTGCTGATCTCAGTTAAGGGCCCAGTATAAATCATAGAATTATAGCATTGCAGAGTTGGAAGGGACCCTGGGGGATCATCTAGTCCAACCCCTGCAATGCAGGAATATGCAGTTGTCCCGTATGGGGATCGAACCTGCAACCTTGGCATTATCAGCACCACGCTCTACCCAACTGAGCTACCCCAGTCCGTTGCAGTAAAGGCAAACATGAGTCAACAGATAGTGTGCAGAATGAGCAACTGGGATCCAAGGCATGCATGCTAATTTATTACCTTACGTGACAGGGATCGATCCCTGATGCGTGAAAGTTGGGCACAGAAGTAATGAAAAGGGCTACAAATGGAATAAAAACAAGAAAAGCTGCACAAATGGGGGTGGTGTGCTGATTATGCCCCTTTGCTAGGGTAGTATTTGGGATAGGGTTGGACATACAGGCGACTGCTAGATGGCCACTCCAAAATTGGTCAATGGTCTGCCACTGGAGCACAGTCTACCTTCTACTCGCCCCTGAGAATGAAAGTGATGCTAGAGATCCCTAGACAACCTTTTTCAGTCGTGAGCCGGTCCACCATCCCTCAGACCATCTGGTGGGCCGGACTATATTTTGGAATGAATTCCTATGCCCCACAAATAAACCAGAGAAGCATTTTAAATAAAAGCATACATTCTACTCATGTAAAAACACCCTGATTCCCGGACCGTCTGAGGGCCGGATTGAGAAGGCGATTGGGCTGCATCCGGCCCCCGGGCCTTAGGTTGCCTTCCCCTGCCCTAGACGTTCCTGTAGCTACTGAAAGAGCCCTGGGCCCTCCCAGTATGGTCCCACTGCTCATTCACTCATGCAAAATCCCATCTCCTGGACAGCTGTATCCAGGAGTTCTGGCTACAGTTACAGCCCCACAATCCCATGACAAAGGAAGATTTAGATCCCGATGAGCTGGAAAATATCTAGTCACACACACACACACACACCCCAACATCCTAGCAAAACAGATGTGGAAGAGATCCGTTGATTACTAGAAAACAGTCTTCCAAGGAAATTAGAAACCGGAGCGGGTTAAATTTTTTCCTCCCTTGGCATCTGTGTACAGGCTGGAAGAAGCTGCATATGTTTTAAGAAATAAATGTGTTAAGCCTTGAAATCCAGCCACCCAAAGATTGCAGTTAAACTTTGAGCAGTTCAATGAGCCCCCTTGGAAGGAGGGAAAAGGGAGAAGAAGCTGGTGTTGATTTCAGCCTAGTATTCGGAAATTGCACAGGTGCAAATTCTTAGCGCAGTCTCAGGAAATGAAAGGAGAGGGACAACGACGGCGAATCTTGATGACTGGCCATTTACTTGGACAATTTGCACGACGGAATTTGCACGGACTCAATAGGATCCATATGGAAGCGGCGGCAAAAAACAGTCCGTGGCTTTGATAAGGAGTCTTACGGAGAGGAAAGGAAATACCAGATGGCTTAATCTTCAGATGCATTGAGCAGCAGGAATTCTTAGTGTAACGGAGTTCTTGGTAATCAGTGGCTCAGAGTATCAGCCCACTAAAAAGGGCACCCTTCTTTTCCCTGGATACTTAAAAAAAGGAGGAGGACGGGGAGGTTTCAACAAGGCTAAAGAGATATGCCTGTTTCTGGCCTCCATGGCAGGACCCAACAGAGGTAGGAAGAAAGGGCAATAGAGTGACCAGGTGCAAAGGGAAGATGGCACAGGTAGGGATAGGAGAGAGACGCAATTTCCGTTCACATTTAAAGGCTAACCTACCCAAGTCACATTTTGTGAAACAGAATGTGAACGAAAACACAGGCACAGTTCAAAACATGCACTCCTCTGAATTTTGCAATGCATAATTCTCTAGCCGAGTAAGTGGTGTGCAAAAATGCATATACTAGGGCAAAGTGTGCATAAAAATTCATATCATAGTGAAAAATGACGTAGAAAATATTTGGGGAAATCACTTTGCAAAAGTGTGTGTTACAAAAATACATTCAGAGACATTTGCACCAAAATGTGGATGAATTTTTACTGGGGCCTGCTTCAAGTGGGCTGTCAGAAAGGTGGCATATGCATGCAATAAAGGGAAAGATAACTAGATTAGATAAATGATGATGATGATGATGATGATGATGATAGACAGACAGATAGGCAGATAGATAGATACATATATAGATAGACAGATAGATAGATAGATAGATAGATAGATGATAGATGATATAGATGATATAGATGATATAAATGATATAGATGATAGATGATAGATGATAGATAGACACTTCCTGCTCTGAACAATATGCAAACCAAAATTATTATTATCATTTATTCATTAAATTTGGATACTACGCTTCATCTGAAGATCACAGGGTGGTACACAAACATACAAAATGAGAACCGAAAACATGTAAAAAAACAAACCAATACACCCCCAATACACAGAATCTATCTTTCAAAATTCCTCCAAATTTGATATGCAGTTTTTTTTTTAAAAAAAAGGGCGCAAACATTCATAACTTAGAGGACAGTGTGCATAAAGTCCATATATTTATAAAAATAACATACAGTGGTACCCCGGGTTCCATACGCTTCAGGTTCCATACGCTTCAGGTTACACACTCCGCTAACCCAGAAATAGTGCTTCAGGTTAAGAACTTTGCTTCAGGATGAGAACAGAAATCGGCAGCAGGAGGCCCCATTAGCTAAAGTGGTGCTTCAGGTTAAGAACAGTTTCAGGTTAAGAACGGACCTCCGGAACGAATTAAGTACTTAACCCGAGGTACCACTGTACAAGCATGCATTGTATTAGGGAACATTACTTGTAAAAATGTGTATATTAAAGCAGAGTTGCATACAAAAAATATTTGCATATATTCGGAGAAAAGTGCAGTAAAATGCTGGTGCATTTTTGTGGAGACTGTTTTTTTAAAAATAATGACAACAACCCAACAATAACTAATCAATGCAGAAATGTGGTGAGCTAAGATGGAAAACGGGAGAAACCAAAACTGACAACAAATCCTGTCTTTCTGTGCACTAAGTTACTCTTGAAAAGCTTCAAGTGCAAACAGAATTGTAGAATCATAGAATTGCAGAAAGGGACCCTGAAAGTCATCTATTCCAACCCCCTGCAATGCAGGAATCTCAGCTAAAGCATCCATGACAGATGGCCATCCAACATCTGCATAAAAACCTCCAAGGAAGGGGAGTCCACAATCTCCCGAGAGAGACTGTTCCACTGCCAAACAGAAATGGACTACAGTTAAATTCACTACTGTTGACGTCAACCTTACAGAGAGTTGGGTGGGTGGGGGGCTTCAGTGGTGAAACCATTTAAATTATTGCCTGGGTTCAATATTCCCTGAATGCCTCGTAAGCCACATCCTAAATAATTTTCTCGGTAGGTAGCTGGAAGAATAGCCTTGGTGAGTTAGATCTTTTCTCTAAGCCCAAATCTGCTGGGAAGCATGTAGGCACATCAAGGAGCTACGATGGGAAGCTGGAAGACCTGCCTGCAACTTCCTGGTTGCGCAAAGTCCCCTCTCGCTCATGTCAGACAACATGGAATTGACCCCAGAAATAAATGTGAACCTAGATGCAAGCAGGTTTTTTTTTATCCTCCTCCCCACATCCACAAATATAAATTTCCCCAAAGCCTATGGGAAATAACACTGGACAACTTTGGCAGCCATTATGTGGTTTGACGGAAAGCAGAGATGCCCCGAGCTGTGAAGGCTGGAACCGGGACAGATCCTCCCAATAAGTTCAGCTCTGCTCTTCCAACAGAGGTTTGCTTCTAATTGGATGTGACACGTCAGCCTCCAACGGCCGGCGGATGTACAGTTCACACAACAGAGGGCCCCCCTACCTCGCTCTCATACACAGCACACACAAAACCACCAAATTATCCTAAGTGTTTTTTGAACTCCATAGGGCAGTGTGGATGGGATTTGTTTGGGGTACTTTGTCTTGGGCCAGACACACCGTTACAAATAACTTTTTGGATGGTTTCGGTTCGCTCTGCTTCCAGGGGAAAGAATTCAAGAAACTGGCCTGAAGTAAGCAAAGGAGAGCATCATGCGCAGCACATATGGATGTGCATGCAGGTGTGGTTGTGGATCTGCACTGTGAGATGCTTAATTGGCTTCCATTTGATTTGTTGGAGGAGGCATGTGATGGACCTTGATAGGGATGTGTCTCTCTCCTATCCAGGGCCATGAACTACACACAACATAACACCTTGAATGAAAGCAAAGGGAAACATAGCTCAGTATCAGAACAGCTGCCTTGCATGTAGAAGGTCTCCTGCCATCTCATGCATCCATTTCCTTCCTTCCTCTCTTGTTTCCCTGTATGTATTCTAGACTGTACGCCTTTCCGGACAGGAACAAGACAAACACACATTAATTGCAGCTTCAGGTGGTTGTGGAGAAATAACCTTTTGAAATGTGTTTCATTTTATGCACTTATTATACATACATATGCAATGTATATGAGATCACCTTACATATTTAATGATGACTTAATTTAAAAACACAGAGTATCCATTTGTTGGTTGTTACTTAGGTCTGGGGAAAGCAAAGTTCTTTTTATACTGAGCTAGAGGGCTGTAAAATTATGCTTCTGATTGGCTTGTTGGATAGAAATTTTTGGCCACTCATTGAACAATGGTGCAGTCACTCAAATCTGATTGGTTGGAAGGTTGGCTGACACACGGGTTCTACTACTGTTCAATTAGAGATCGTGACTGACTTGGAAGGAGGAGAAGGACTGGCAAGAGAGTGTTGAGGATATGGAAAGCCCGGTGATACAGTTTGCAGCAAAGGAGCTGAATCACTGGCTCAAGATGAAGATTGCTGGAGAGGTCATCTAAGGATGGCGAGGAAGAGTTCAGCAAGGTGTTTCTGGAACTGACCAGAGAGAGAACTGCCTGAACCCTTGGCTCATAGGACAATCAAGAGAAGTTCTCAGTACCTGGTAGAGGTGATAATTGACTTGACTGGCAAAGGACAAAGGGTAATTGGCATGTAAGTTAAATATGGTTAGGGACAGAACTTTTCAAATAATCCTTATGTATTTGGATGCAACTGGCAATTAAAAGCAAGCACAAGCCTCAAAGAAACACCAGCCACTTTAAGTAAAGTGTTTACCTTATTTTACCTTTATTGTTAATAATCAATACTTAACATTTTGTTGATTTTATTTTCTGACAAAATGTGTCAGGCTGGTTCTGCACCACATCTAAAGTCCCACAGCTTCTGGGTTATGATTAAATGTGTTGGTAAGCAGTATAATGCAGATATTTGGTGGCTGTGGTTAGAAAGGTAATCAACAGCGATGATAAAAACTAGCGACACATGGGTTGAAAGTTAGAATGCTTCGTTTAAAAACCTAAACTTTCCCTGCATGTAGAAAAACAGCGGACAAGATTAAGCTGAATGTTTCCCACTGACTTGCTCCTTTTTAGAGGCACACGCACAAACACACTGTGCTAGCTTGAAGTGGTACAACTGAGGAAAAGCATAGTCTGCTGAAAGCATCTTATTTACCTATAACATTTCTACCCCACCTTTCAGCCAAGGAGCTCATTTTATCCTCACAACACCCCTGAGAAGGAGCCACTGGCCCAAGGTCACACAGCATGGTGACTGGAGCGCTGGACTTCCAGGTTCTAGTCTAACACTCTAACCCTTACGCTACACCACCTTTTGCACTATACTGGCTTTGCAAGGAATGTCTGTCTTTTTCTTTGTGTGTGGATGCAGAATGCATACAAATAGCATCGCGGGGGAAAGAGAGCTGTACTAAACGTTAGTATTTAGGAGACATTTTCCCACCCCTCCTTGAGCTCCAGGTGGCTCACAAACAATTAGACCATTTAAAAACAACAAGATATTCCTTGTCGCCCTGGAAAGAAATCTGCTAAAGACATGGCCGAACCGTACAGTCTTCATTTAGCCCAGAGCTTATAGTTTGTTCTGCTTAATTACAGGATATTTAGTTCCCTCATATAATTTATTAGCAAGCCAGGCAATGATAAATTCAAGCTAGCTTTTTCATATATATCTATTTGGGTTTCGGCACTAACTGTCTCCAGATTGTCAGGCATTATCTATGGAAGTGGAGAGCAGCAATTTATAGCTATTTATTTGTAAGTTGTAACCATTGTAAATAAACGAGTGAGTGAAGGCAGAATCGCAGGGGAGAAAATAGCTTGGGGAAAGCCAAGGGAATTTGGGATGGATTATATTGAAGATGGGAAGCAGGTGGGCTTTGATTTAGATAAGCAAGGATGGAGGATGCAAACACAGTGAATTTCCATCTTGTCTCACTGTTCCCAAGCCTTAAAGGGGCCTCCTTAGGGAAGCACTGACAATTGCCTTCCCAAATTCTTCCACCCACCATCTTGGGTGTTGTTTGTCTTTTACACACATCATGATTAGCCACTGCCTGTTCTATAGGTTGCCATGCATGGAAAAAAAACTCTACTCCTGCGGTTTCAGAGTTACTGCATGCCTGGGCACTGGGTGGCTGCTTATGCACGCCCAAAGAGTGACCTGTTAAGTAAAATTGTTTAATTGACACTGAAATGGACAATGCCTGTGTGTATTGCTGGAAGGGTTTAACTGGGAAATTCCACTGAAGCTAAAGAAGAGCAAGAACTGCTCTCTAAGCACCTAGATGGGTTGGTAATTACCGTATTTTTTGCTCTATAGGACTCACTTTTTCCCTCCTAAAAAGTAAGGGCAAATGTGTGTGCATCTTATGGAGCGAATGCAGGTTGCGCAGCTATCCTAGAAGCCAGAACAGCAAGAGGGATTGCTCCTTTCACTGTGCAGCAATCCCTCTTGCTGTTCTGGCTTCTGAGATTCAATATATTTTTTTTCTTGTTTTCCTCCTCCAAAAACTAGGTGCGTCTTGTGGTCTGGTGCGTCTTATAGAGCGAAAAATATGGTAACTATTATTGTTCTCTGCTAGCTAGCATGTGAGTGTTTAACCTTAGATCACATGAGAGGTATTGAAATGCAAATCGCCATCTTGGGCAATTGGTCTTTTGTTCCCAGGCTCCATGGAAAAAGGATGTGATAAAGATGCCTCTCCAGGAAGCATCTCTCCTGGCCTTGGGGCTGGACTGCAGGCTAATGGGAGGGGGGAGAGATGTGTCTGTCAGCTCTGTATTTCAAAAAGAAGACTATCCCCTGAAAAGTAGGACAGTAACGGTTGAAGGCAGTAATAGTTGCTTCCAAATACCAGTTGCTGGAAGCTGCAGAAGGGGAGAGAGCTTCTGTGCTTGTAGGATTCCTACAGGCACTGGTTTGGCCCTTGTGAATCACAGAATAATAGAATTGGAAGGGGCCCTAAGGATTACCTAGTCCAACCCCCTGCAATGCAGGTATATGTAGCAGTCCCATATGGGGATCAAACCTGCAACTTTGGTGTTATCCGCACCACACTCTAATTAACTGAGCTATCCAGCTAGTTATAACATTCTTAACATCTGTGAGTTCTTTGTTAGCCAACTGAACTTTGCATCTTGTCTTGCCTGGTAAGTCAAATGCTAGATCAAAGCAGCATATGTGTATTTGTTCATCCATCCATCCATCCATCCATCCATCCATCCATCCATCCTTCGCCTAACAGAACAGGATGCTGGAGTAGATGGGTCGTTGTCCTGCTGCAGCAGCCTCTTCTTATGTTCTGTAAGCACAATCTTGTGGAAGAAGCATATAGTTAAACTATGGAACTTCTATCCACAGGAGACATTGATGGCCACTGAAATATACTTGGGGGCCTGTAGTGATTTCATGCTCTTTATTGCAGCTTGTAAAACAGTGAGTGAATTGCCCCCCCCCCCAACCTCAGGCTTTTATACACAATGGATGCTCAGGTTGCGAACGTGTCTGTTTGCACGGGTTGCGATTCAGTGCTTCTGCGCATACGTAAAAGCGCTTCTGTGCATGCGTGACTGCCAAAACCCGGAAGTAACCCGTTCCGGTACTTCTGGGTTTCGGCAGTCTGCAACCTGAAAAAAGACAACCTCAAGCGGACGCAACATGAGGTATGACTGTACATTATTTACACAACGAGTCCCATCTGATTGGCTGATTCTGCTTCCCTCCTAGAGCCTGATTGGTCTTTTCCTGCAGGCCAATCAGCTGTTGCATTCTACAATCCTACCAGCCTAATAGGCTGATTAACTTCCTCCTGGAGCCTGATTGGTCTTTTCCTGCACGCCAATCAGTTGCTGTGGCACTCAGGTCCTCCTTTTGGGCTTCTCACGGGCATCTTGTTGGCCACTATGAGAACAGAATGCTGGACTAGATGGGCTACTGACCTAATCCAACAGGCTTTTCTTATGTTTCTAAGGCACACAGCCACCCCAGCTGGGCAGGTTTTTCATCATGCAATGGTTTAAGGACTTCTAGTTGATGAAACAATGGAAAGAAGGAGTATCCCAGGCCAACAGCACGGGGAAAGAGTTTCCAAGTTTCAAATCCTGAGGCTAAGATCTGGTCTAGACAAACAGCTCATGGTGTGGTAAGCTGGAATCTGCCACTTCAGACCACAGGTTGGGGGAACTGCATTTCTTGAATGTTTCTCCCACATAAAAAGAAAATAAATTTGCTGCGTAGAAAACCAGGACGTCGGGGAGAAAGCTTCTCTAGAATCATCCTCCCTGGTATCTAGCTTTGCTTCACAGTGCAGGTTTTATAAAGGGGAGCACCAATTACATAATCCCCATGGCTGCTTCCAGCCAGGTGTTTATGGTGGGATTGGTGCCCCTCATGCTTGGAAACAGACTGTAGCATCCACACAACATCATTGTCATCAAAATGCCAGCCCACATTCCCTCCTACCACCAAGGAAAAAAATCTGGAAAGCAAAGAAACCATCGCCCCACAGTTGCAGTATTAAGCCCCAGTCTGAAAGCATCCATAGCTCAAGAATAGGCTCACCACATTATGATCTATGACCTTAGCCATGAGCCTTGCTTGCAGCAACCTAAAAGCTACTGGTCACCAGATCAGCACAAGCACTGGTTTAAGAAATGAGCCATGCATGGAAGCACTGTGTGCAACAGCCTTATCAAACAATGTCTGCTCGGCTTCCCGTGTGTGTGTGTTCTTGTCTTGTCATTTAATTTTTATGGCGCCCTTGATCTCTGCTTGTGGGTACCACCATGGCTTACCCCTGTGCAGTAAAGTTGGCTGTCTCACAAGATCACTCCATCCTCAGCCACATGAAAGGCAAGGCAGAGGCTTCCAGGCTCCTGGAGCCAGCTGGAACGCCCGGATGGGGCTGCTGAGTTCAGCATCACGTAGACATACTTTTGTGCAATCCGTTTACACAAAGGGCTTCTTCTTTGGCACGGCAGATGAAGTCAGCACTTTCGGGGGGGAGGGCAGCGATCTGCTTACTTCTGAAAACAAGATGCGCTCTGTCTGTTTACTGTCCAGGGTGTTCTAAGTATCAGCAGGAGGCTTCTTTTCAGCGACCAAATGCGAACTTTGTATAGCAGCCCCCTATTTCAGTTGAAAGTAAGTCCCACACTGAACTGAATTAAACTTAGGTTCCATCTGCACTATATATTGAACACAGTCATTGAGCAATCATGGCTTCCCCCAATGAATCCTGGGAACTGCAGTTTGCTAAGGGTGCTGAGAGACCCATATTCCTTTCACAGAGCTAAAGTTTCCAGAGTGGTTTAACAATCACTCCCTCCTCTCAGGAGGGTCCTGAGTCTCCTAGCAACTCTCAGCCCCCTTAACAAACCACTGTTCCCATGATTCTTTGGGGGAAGTGTTATGTACTGAAGTTCTCACCCTGGGCCAGCAGGGGGATACTGTAGATAGTTTTCACTCAGGTCCACATATGCAAACGTTCAGTGATTGGATAGTTTTAGAAAATTGTTACAGTTACGTTGTAATGGAGCTCTATATAAGCAGGCTGGCTGAACCCTTCAGTTCTGTTCTGTTCTGGCCTGTGAATAAACAAGAGATGCCTGAAGAATCGCTGTGTTGTCTGATATGTTCACCCACAACTTAACAGGAAGCCCTGACTGTTCAGAGTGGCATGACCTTGCTTTATGTACATTGTACAGATGTTCTTACAGAGCAGATATGCCTGTTCCGCACCAAATGGTCAAAGAATAATAGAATTGTAGGGTTGGAAGGGACCAATTCAGGAATCTTTTGCCCAACGTGAGGCTTGAACCCACGGCCCTGAGATTAAGAGTCTCATGCTCTACTGACTGAGCTATCTTGAATGTGCTGGAGAAAGCAAGCCTCTTGCCAGAAACTTCCAGTCTGCTTTTGCTACTCTGTGTGAAATGGAAGTAGGGGTGCCAGCCGACCCTTCTCCTCATGCGACAAAATATGTTGGGCTGCCCTCAATTGCAAGACCAAATTATCTCCTCCTTGATACACAGAAAAAGCATCACACAATTATCTAAAGACTCTTTTTTGGAAAGGCTAAGTTGTTGGTTTCTTTCTTTCAACGTAATTCCCCGCCGCAAAAAATACCTTTACATACAGCTGCACACACCCTTAGTCCTGTGTGTGTGGGCAGAGGAACCTAGAATTAGTTCTCTATTATTATTTTGTTTAGATCAGTTTTTTTTATTGCATTATGAAGAGACTTAAAAATATTTTATTACAAATAAAGAAGAACCATGGAATGAGTAAATGCCTTACTATTCGTTTGGCCTGGGGAGAAAACCTGCCCTGGTTCATACATAAACTACACAGCAAGCTCTTTTCTTCTACAGCGGTAAAGAACTATGCTTTTAGATGAAGGCAGGCTTATTTTATACCACTTAATTAAAAACAACAATATGAGTAATGCTCACATACAGATGTGCCACAGTTCAAACCGCTGGTGAAAAACATTTTTTAAAAACCAACCTGTGAAAAAACCCACAAAAGTTCCACTAGATGGAGGATCACTTTGAAATATCTCTTTTATATTCTCCCTCTTTAAAGCAGAGGTAATGAATCTCTGCCCCGCCAAATGTTGCTGGACTACAACTCCCATAATGCTATGCAAGCTGGGGCTGATGGAAGTGGGGACTCCAGCTACATCTCAAGAGCTGCAGACTCCCCACCACTGCTTCAAATAAATATTTAACATTATAACCATATTTTGAAATTAATATGATTACCAAAGTCCAATGGATGCAGTGTGTTTGTTTAAATGAAACTCTAGTCCCCTCTACCAAACAAATCACAGAATATGGCTTAGGGATGGTGATTCTGTTCATTCTGGCTTCTCTTCATTTTCCATTTTTCAAAGTTCAATGTTCCACATTTCTAAATCAGCTTGCTATTATTATTATTTTTAAGTCCTTGTGAAAGTTCACCAGCATTTCAGCACACATTTACCCTAACATTCACAATTTCACACGCACTTTTGCCTAAAAGACACACTTTTGCAAAGCAATTTAACTTCATATAAGTGCAGTTTTCTGTGTAGTTTTTGCCAATACAGTGGTACCTCTGGTTAAGTACTTACCGTAATTCGTTCCGGAGGCCCGTACTTAACCTGAAACTGTTCTTAACCTGAAGCACTACTTTAGCTAATGGGATCTCCTGCTGCTGCCGTGTCGCCGGAGCCCGATTTCTGTTCTCATCCTGAAGCAAAGTTCTTAACCTGAAGCACTATTTCTGGGTTAGTGGTGTCTGTAACCTGAAGAGTATGTAACCCGAGGCACCAATGTATATGCATTCTGATGCACACCTAGTTTGCCCTGAAATGTCCTCCCTCAAACAGACTAGATAAAAAAAAAACCAAAATGAAACAAAGAAAAAAATAAGCTCTAATTCAAACATTAGCTTTTAAAACATGCAGTGTTCAAAATACATACATTAAACTGAGCTAAGTGCAAATGAGGAAGGGCTCAGTTAGTTCCTTTCCCTTTGCTTGGTTGGAGATTACGATCCTGACTCATGGACTTGGAGAAAGAGGAAAAACAGGACCAAGCTGAACTGTTGTGGTCAAACTGTGACATCTGGCAGGCCTAATTATCCTCCAGGTGTTTTGGTCACAGTTAATTAAGTCCTAGACTGGTGAGTATATCCACACTAACAGACCTTGCCATGGAGGGTCATTTGCAAATTACATTCACAGCCCTTTTGTGCTGGATACTTAGGAGATTGAGGAGGGGCAAGGGGGGGTGGAGAAAGAAGACGACTGGGCTTTGCAAATTTGCAAGCACCAAAAAAGGAGAGAAAGTGTTTACAAACACAGGGATGGTGAGAAACAGTTTTTGTTACATGCCTTAGGGGTTGGTTCACAGATTGCCTGTGAGAACAGCCTCAGGTCAAACACCATCAACTCAGCAGAGTTTTCCTATTGCTCCCCATTACCTGGGCTAACAGCAATGTGCAGTGTTTCCTGGTGCAAGGAAAAACTATAGAAATGAGAATTCCTGGAAGCCAAGATTTAAATTTGGGGAAGGTACTCTTTGGTGAGAAAACGCCAGCAGAGATTTAAAATCATGAAATACGCAGCAAATTAAAGCACAGAAATGTAGGCTATTAGATGTTTAAAACAGATGCCCTTTAAAGTGAGTTCCAAAATGTCCCCTTTAAAAGTTTCTTCCCAAAGCTTCCCACTCTCCCCAGCATAGCAAAACGTCTGGCAAGTTAAGAAAGTGGTTTACTTACAAACTCTCCAAAGGTCAGATGCACGTGCTTCAGAAAGCTGCACAGGCCGTAAAACTTGGCTTAGTTACAAAATGGTGGAAGTTCTTGGTATAGGAACTCGAGAGGTTCAAAAGAGTTGTGTGGTGTGAGTGCAGCAACCTGCTCAAACATCTTCACATCATTGCATTCACATGTAGAGGAGGTGGGGGAGAGAACAAAGACTAGTTCCTCCCAAGGTGAGGGGAAGTGGACATAGCTAAGCCTAGGAGGACAGCTTACTCTATGGTATTAACCCCTTCAGGTGTTAATTAGACTTAAGCATGTTGCTTACATGAGGCTGGTTATCTCACAGCGTCCCCCTTCCCTCCTCTAAGTGGCACCAGTGTGGAGTATACTTCATCGCTGTAGTGGCAGAGGATACAAATAAGTGTTTAAACTCTTTCCAGGAAACCCCCCCCCCACAGTATAGCTATGTTAGTCTGCTCCTTCAGGCTAGCTTCTCCAGGTGATTGCAATACAGTGGTACCTCGGGTTACATACGCTTCAGGTTACATACGCTTCAGGTTACAGACTCCGCTAACCCAGAAATAGTGCTTCAGGTTAAGAACTTTGCTTCAGGATGAGAACAGAAATCGTGCTTCAGCGGCGTGACGGCAGCGGGAGGCCCCATTAGCTAAAGTGGTGCTTCAGATTAAGAACAGTTTCAGGTTAAGAACGGACCTCCGGAACGAATTAAGTACTTAACCCGAGGTACCACTGTACAAAGTTCCAAATATTGGGAGTTCTTCTCTAGACTGAAGTAAAACAATGAAATATTTTCTCTCTTCCCAGCCATTCTTCCACTATATGTGCAACAACTGTGTACAGTGGTACCTCGGGTTACAGACGCTTCAAGTTACAGACGCTTCAGATTACAGACTCTGCTAACCCAGATATAGTACCTTGGGTTAAGAACTTTGCTTCAGTATAAGAACAGAAATTGCGTGGTGGCGGTGGCAGCAGGAGGCCCCATTAGCTAAAGTGGTGCTTCAGGTTAAGAATGGTTTCAGGTTAAGAACGGACCTCCAAACGAATTAAGTTCTTAACCAGAGGTACCACTGTACAATTATGGTTGCCTCACATGAAAAAGGATATTGTGGAGCTGGAAAAAGTTCAGAAAAGGGCAACCAAAATGATCCTGGAGTGGAGCAATGCATCTATGAAGAAGTTGTCATGTTTGGGACCTTTTAGTAAGATGTGACTTGATAAAAGTTTGTAAAATTAGGTATGGCATGGAGAAGGTGGACAGAGAAAAGTATTTTCCCTCTTTCACAGCACTAGAACTTGCGGTCATCTAATGAAGTTGAATGTTGGAAGATTCACAACACATCAATGAAAATATTTCTTCACACAGCATGTAGCTAAACTATGAAACTTGCTCCCACAGGAGGCAGTAATGGCCACTAACCTAGATGGCTTTAAATAAGAATTGGACGTATTCATGGAGAACAAGGCTTTCAATGTTGGCTATACTCTACCGCCACAGTTGGAGGTAGTGATGCTTCTGAATACCAGTTGGTGGAACAGCAGAGGAGAGTTGCTTTGTGGTCCGATCCTGCTTCCAGATTTCCCACAGACATCTGGCTGGCCACTGTGAGATCTGGATGTTGGACTAGATGGGCCACTGGCCTGATCCAGGACACTCTTCTTATGTTTCTATGGCAAGGGGCCATAGTTATTTAGCAGAGGCTCACAAAATCATTTGTATCCAGCGTTCTCTGCCCAGTTGTGCTCTTGCAAATGAGTGAGCCTTAATACAGTGGTATCTTGGGTTAAGTACTTAATTCGTTCCAGAGGTCCATACTTAACCTGAAACTGTTCTTAACCTGAAGCACCACTGAAGCAAAGTTCTTAACCTGAAGCACTATTTCTGGCTTAACGGAGTCTGTAACCTGAAGCGTATGTAACCTGAAGCGTATGTAACCCGAGGTACCACTGTACTCTGTGCAGCAGAGGGAATCCCACACAGGCTAGCGGAAACTCACTGCACAACTGTTTATTGTGCAACAATGTCACCAGCAACATGCATCGCCCTGTGCAACAACACACTTCTGGTGCAAAACATTTCACCAGCAATACAAGTCGAAAGCCAAGTGACTTTAACTTAGTGCTGCATTGGATACAACCCACTAAACATTACTCGGGCTGGATTTTTCCTTAAAAAGGACGGAAGTTCACTAAGTTCATGCTTATACTAACATTTCCAAACAGTGATGCAAGCAAGTTGAATGGGATAAATGCTCTCAGTTTCTGTAGGCTAATGCAAACATCTTAGATGTTTCCAGAAGGGGGCCTTTCACCTTAGAGTTGCAGTTGGTGCTTTTCTTCACTGTTTATCTTGTCTTGAGTAGAGGCTGGAGGTCCTTAGCCATGTGCTCCATCTTCTCTGTTTCCTCCAGCGTCTCTCCCCAGGGGCTGACATGAACAGCAAAAGAAGTGTACACAAAAGATTTTGCCCTCCTATATTTCCTCCTCTAAGATGTTGGACCATTCCTCCCACATAATCTCTCAGAAGGATGTTCTCCTTGACTTCCAGAGGCTGTTGGACAGGTGACAATTTGAATGGTGACAATGGCCACAAAGTACCGT